AGTCAAAAACTGAAAAGCGCTTTTTTTAAGCAACCACAAACACTCCTATAAATAAGTATGGAAAATATATTACTAAATTCGTAGTGAATGATAAAATAAAATCTATACGTGTTAGATATTAAAAAACGACATTTGTCATTCAACAATTTAAAAACAACACTTCCACAATTTATTTTTTATACGTATTTGCGTACTAATAAATAATCTTCATCACAATCATCAATCTTAACAAACATACATGAGCCCATTCCAGCATTTCTTCCGAAAAAGTGTCAAATGGCCCCCCTACTAATACAGAAAAATCAATTAAGCCCCCGAACTCAAAAAACACTCAATTAAGCCCACGAACTATAAAAAAACGAGGCAAAACAGTCATTTTAGCAGGTAATTAAGCACTTAAAAAGAGATAATGAAAAAGGAAAGAAAGAGAAAAAGAGAAAAAGAAAATGTAAAAGCATGCCACATCATTTGCCACACATGCAACTTAACTGGGAACGGTTAATATCCTGCGAAAAGGACTGTTTTGCCTCGTTATATTTAGTTCGTGGGTTTAATTGGTTGTTTTTGAGTTCGGGGACTTAATTGACTTTTTCGTATCAGTAGGGGGCCTATTTGACACTTTTCCCGCATTTCTTCCGATAGGAGTGACATTGCAAATCCCAAATACAATATATTATAGGAGTGTCTTTATGTAGTAGAATCAATTGTTCACACCTTGTACTACACTACTACGTAATTTATTATCTGCAATTATTCCGGCCACTTTTCTAGAGAAATTCTTGTTGTACACACTTTTATACTCACTTTAGATTTACCATGTCTGTGAAGATTTTTGGTTTGTCTATGAATTCAATTCACAGACAAAATAATTTGCACAGATATATTTTATCTGTAACCGGAATTCATAGACAAAAAGACGTTGCACAAACACGATGAGTATAAAAGTGGGTATAAGGGTGGGGTACAAATAGTTTTTTTTTGACATTTATATCCCGGCATTGTAAAAGCTACAAAATTTTGAATCTAAAGAAAGCATTAATTAATGATTATTAACACCAATTAATCAACAGCTCGCAGCTCTAAGAAAATAATGATTAAAACTAACAAATAAATGTCTTTCTAAGGAATAAGATTGTTTATTTTGCTGCTCCAATCCATGCACGACATGAAGTTATAAAAGGTTTCCTATTTTTAGTATGAATGTAAGAGAAACTCAAAAGTCCCCTAAATTAGGTTGATATCTTTTGCACAATAAACAACAAAAATGATTTAAAAGTAATGTTCAGAATTGTGCATAAAGTAAAATCATATACGATAGTATTCATCAAGTATATTATGAAACGTTTAAATCTTGATTCTTAAATGGAACTTATAATTGATATACGTACCATTGATGATTTTTTATTTTTGAAAAAAATCAATAGTTTGTATTTGCTATCTTTTTGAAGAAGGGTGATGAATAAATGTATTTATCCATTATTATTTTTATCAGTAATAGTTACTCCCTCCGTCCCACTAAATTCTTCTAACTTTCCTTTTTGGGTCGTCCCAAAAAATTCTTTCACCTTCCACTTTTGGAAAAATTGCGTGGTTCACATTCATTCACATTTTTTTTACACAACTACAATCATACATTTCCACTTTATTCTCAATTCTAAAAGAATTTATTGGGAAGGAGGGAGTATATCACAATACTGGCACATACAAAAAATACTCCCAATAAATGTAGCAATGTTTTCCAACTTCATAAGTAACTTAGAATTCTGAGTTGCCCGCGTCGATGGTTTAATCAATATTCAAAGTGACTCCAAATTTTGACTTGCTGTTTGATCCCAACTTTAAAATTTACAAAATACTACTCCGTACTACGTATCATTTTATACAAACATAACATTTCAGACTCATCTGAAGTACACAAATAAAAACATTATCTAAAACATTTAACTACACCAATACTGATATAAGACTCTGAATTTCTTCAACATGTACATTTATGCTCCAATTCATTACCTGTTCACAGGATCTAGTGAAAAGGGACATTAAATAGATGATGATCTCTATCACCATAGATCTCATAATCATATATGCCAAACCTATACATTTATGCTCCAATTCATATATAACTCTATATTTTACACAAAACATTATCATCTGAATATCTCATACCAATGTCAAACCATATCACTTTTTCCATTGTCCAAAAAAGAAAATTTCAATATCAAACAAACTCACAAAATCATATCCAAAATACATCAGAGTTTAGGTTGTATAATCCAAAATATGCATGTTGCATGCCGACTATCCAAAGCAGAAATTAAATTCAAATATATGAGTTAGAGAACGACATATCATTTTACTTTGTAATCATTCATCACCATTATATAGTAAAAATACTGAGTTTTTTTTTTACTTTAGAGAGGTACTTCTCAAACTTATTTTTACATTTATTTCCCAATTCGTATTTTTTTAACCGGAACTAGGCGACCTTTATTATTGAAGAAGATCATTAGCCATTTGGCTTACAATACCATCTGGAATATAATTGTAGCTAAAACTATGATCTGAGATACATACATGCGTTCTCGCTTAAGCGTGAGTCGCTAAAGCATGACCCGCACGATTCACATTCCTCTAAATTTTCCATCACTTAACCAACTGAGCTATCCGTTCAGGGAATATCTTCTCAATCTACTATAGTATTGCTATAATGCTATATTGCTATTTGCTAATGATAATGCCAATATTCCTAATTGAGATCAAATTCTAACTTACAATTTCTTCTTTGCAAATTGATAGATTAGTAGTGATGTCATCCTGTATTTGACATATAATGTTCCGAATAAATTATTGTATTTTCATCACATTCAATTCGGAATTTAGATAATTCAAAATAATCAAAGAAGTGCTTGCCCAAAAACACGTGTGGCTATTTTGATCGATAAGCTTAAGGCAACCTCCGTATAGTAATTGCATTAGTTTCAAATGCAATTTTTACTTTAAAAAAATGACCTCGTGATCGAGTTGCGAGTTGCGACTGCGATAACTTATTATAAAAAAGATAATATAAAAGAGATGAATATACTTATAAATGATAAAATAAAAAAGATAAAAGTAATATTTATATATAAGGATAAAAGGATAAAAATAAGAAAAAAAGCTAGAAATGTAAAATTAGAAAAACTAGGAAATGAAAATGCAAAACATAAAATATAAAATTGATATATAGAAATAAAGAACCAGAAAAAACTAGATAGTACCCAGAAATCATATACCAGAAATTGGAAACTCAAAAACAATTCGGGCTCCTGCTCTGGTCGAGCCCAAGATTGAGCTATGCGCTGAGAGTGTTTGGGTCGGGATGAAGAAATGTAACACTTTAACGAACTTTGAGCTAGAGAGTTGAAGAAATAGGACTAATAATGTTGAAAATGAAAAGTGCCTTAAAATTAGGGAGAACCCAAAAAGTGGGTCTTCTCTCTTGAGCTGATCCATGACGATAACAAGTCAGAACTCTATAACTTTTAAGGCTTTTGAGAGGGCACAATCCTAGCCCACAAGCCCAATAGGGTAGGTACTCAACCACACAGTCCACCTTGGATCCGGAGCCTCTACCTTACTTTAGAATAAGGTATGGTGCTTTGCTTCTTCCCAATCGTCCGATCAAAAATTCAACGTCGAAGATCTTGGCCTCCACTTTTTCGCCGATCTCGAGGCCGTGTTGGCCACTCCCCTGCCCTCGGATGCGCAAGGCACCTCTGCCTTATGGCAGGGGATCTGGATCCGTCCACATTCGATAAAAAAGGTGACACCACATTTTTGAATGAGCCCAACTCCGCCAGACAATAATTAAAGGAATGTATATTGATTTTAATCACAAACTGATAAATAGTGAGTGAGTTTTGACCAAGATATTTATAACCCTATGCATACTACACGTGAGATGTTGTCGTGTATGAAGGATATGCCCCCAACTCCCAAGACTCCTAATTTAAGATATAAATTTTATATCTTTTTGAAAATATTCCACAAAGAACATTCCCATATGGTTTTATTTTATAAATTATTTCCTATAAAAATATATCTTTGATCAAAGCTTAACTTAATTAATCAATAAATTCAAAGATGATAAAGTTTTAAAAATCAATGGAGTATATGTTAAATTATTGAAGTGAAAAAAAAAAATAGTGTTCGCTTGGCTTAGCCTTGGAAACCTATAAAATCGGTACATTAATTTTGTTAATTCAAAATATCACACTTCATATAAATCGAGTACACATCGAGTAATGATGAACACTATATCACTTTAAAATATGGTTAGTTGAGTAACACTCTAACACGTGCTAATACGTAGTATCATGTTTGCACTGATTTTCTCTTATTTGAATATATATTGTGGATGCATGCATTCTTATTTTTCATTAGAAATTTTATTTTTATACTAACTTAAATCTATATGTGTGGAGTGTTGAAATTTTAGTTCTTGTATGAAGATGGAGTGATTCTAGCTACATATTTTAGTACATTGTTTTTTAATAATTTATTTAACTGACTATATTATTGAATTTTAAGGTACAATTTGATAGATATAATCTATACTTCAGATCATGGAAAACATGTTCACGGAATTTCATGAAAAGATTACAAACGATATTACCTCAAATGGAGGTGACCCGATGGCGGATTTTGTTAGCTCTGACAAGATCATTCTTTCTCATACTCATATTCATATTCATGGTTGTAATTTTTTTGACAGGTACTCGTACTTTAGGATTTAATTTATGTAGTACGGAGTAATATTTATGAAAAGATAGTCTTCCTTAAATTCTCAAAAAACTGATTTTGTGGAGTTGGGATTTGAGAGATCGCTCCTTTAAGTTCCCCAAGCACGTACTCTCTATTTTGCCTCTTGTAAATACAAAATCATTTTAAAAAAAAAAAAACATACACTAAATGTTCATATAACCCACCCCAATTCTAATTTCATCACATCTAGAAACGCTTGGGGAGCTAAGGCGCATTTCATTCATAAAGTACATTCGAATATTCGATCATAAAGTACGTTTTCGCTAATATAGTAACAGGTTAGATGAAGGTACATTATGTTCGATCGATCATAAATTCATAATCAAGTGTATAATATACTATAATACGATAGTATAATATTATCAACTAATAATAATGGCAACCAAAATAAGTTGAGAACATAACGACACGGCACGAAGATTATTCATATGGTTAGATAGAGTCGCGACTCATCTTACTTTCCACCTCCAGGGAACCGCATGCTTAACGCTTTCACAAATGCTTGTCTGCATTAATTAGTTTAAACTGTACCAAGTCAGCATCAGGTGTGTATATATTTTCCCAAATAAAGTGTTTTTGTTGTGAAAAATAAAAATAAATGTTATACATCAAATTTCAAATATAATGGCTCCAAATAGGTCAAATAATGCACTTAATGGTATAAAAAAACGTAATTAATTGAAGTTATACTTCGTGTATAATAAATACTACTAGTATGGACTATGGAGTAATATATAAATAGATGTTATTTCCCACCCCACGAACACGTTCTACTTTTCTTATTTGAATTTTTCGGTTTCTATTTGAGAAAAAGAAATTTTGTAACAGGCAAATGTCGCTATTGTCCATAACTTTTGATGAATTTGACATAAAATAACTAAGGGCACGGTTGGAAAGTGAAATTAAAACTTTATCTTTACATAAATATGTATATTACTTGAATGCGAACTTCTATTGAAGACGGTACTGAGATGCTTTTAATTGGACTATAATTTTCTCGTTTATTCTGTTTAAATCATACTACTATTTGATATGGTTTTAACTGATATGACTTGGTTTTCCAATTTTTTTTCTATGTGTATTTTACAACTGTCGATGTCTGATCTGATCTATTTAAGTCTGATTTGGTCTAATCTTATATGAGATTGGAACCAATTCGATTAAAAATGTTCTTAATACATACAAAGTATGTGGTATACACAAACAAACAAACAAAGAATTATTTAGAAATAACTTCCTCCTGTTAGTGGTACCGGCTTACAGTCTCCCATACATTAGCTTTAACCACTAAAACATCTTGTTAAAGGTTCTTATACGTAGTATTAAAAAGTTTTAAATTTAAGTATCATGTAGATGGTAGATTTGGTTCTCACGGATCTTCTGATCCGAGTTATGATCACTCAAGCCACTCCTAGTCCCCCCGAATTCACAACCTTGATTTGGATGCAACTAATGTTCCGTTGGTATGGATTGTTGATAAAAAAGTCATTTTGAACCATTTACTCCCCCCAATCCTCCTTCACAAAGAATTATCCTAATTGATACGGAGTATTTTTGAGCTTATGTGTTGGATTTTGAGCATAACTTTTAGGCAATATAATTTCTAGTGAAAACTAATTTTTTTACTATATTATTAGTAGTTTTGTACTTGATATGAAGCAGAATCTGGGCTTGGAAGAAGAGGGGCAGAAGCCCCCATGGGTTTACCGAAGGCTGGACGGGCTTGAGCCCACCTTCGTGGGCTGGTTGCGGGCTGTTTAATTAATATTTATTATTCCTTTTATTTTGTTTCCTAATTTAATTTGTTTCCTCGTAGGATTTATTTAGGACTTCTATTCTTATTAGAATTAGAGGTTTCCTATTTCTATTTAGTTTCCTAGAATGATTTAATTAGGAGTTCTATTAGAACTAGAGGTTTCCTATTCTATTTAGTTTCCTAGATTAATTTATTTAGGATTCCTATTCTTATTAGACCTAGAGGGTTATTTATACCCCTTGTATGCTTCATTCTTGATAATCTGGGAATAAAAGTTGGTTTAGCCTTTTGGCTCTGGGCAACGGTATTTTTACCGTTGATTATCGGGCAACGGTTCACCCCGTTGATTTTATTTTTTCTGTTCTTATCAGTACTCCATATAAAATAAATCATTGACATCTTCATTCAAAAAACAAATATGATGATATATTTGCAAAATAGGAAGAATATCACAAGCGTTTTAAACTTATTTTAGCAGGTCGCGGGACAAATATCATGGTGGAGTTAGAGCGGCAATAATTTGGGCAGTCCAAGGAGGGTGGAGGCATGTGGACATCGAGTTGGATGCTTTGATGATCGTTCAAGCGGTAATTACGGAGCGCGGAAGGTACTATGTTGACATATGGGTGAATAACATTAGACAATTATTAAAAGAGAATACATCATTTTCTTAAAATCATTATAAAAGATTTGCTAATTGTGCTATTCATGCACTTGCAAGTGCTATTCAGTCCGGTCTTAATTGTGATAATGGTGTTATTCCATCATTCCATGTAAACGAGATGAAGGTATTTATTTAGTTTTAAAAAAAAGTCATGGTATGAAGCATTTTAGATCTAGAAGAAACACTGCGACTAAAATTGAACTAAGATTACTTTTCACGAAACGTGGACAAGGATCGGTTCTGTTCCAATTTGGATTTTCAACCGTATGATTAAGGGTCCTAAGTTACAAGAACCACACAGCAACTTGGTTAACTTGTCCGAACTTTTTTGTCTCATTCAAGTTCTGTGTGGAAGTTTGGAGGGAGTAAAATGGACCAATATGGGCAGAAATGGAGGGTTGAGAGAGATTTTAATTGGTGGATTCCGCATTTTTGAGGTAGGGTGCTTCATTTTTATCAACCACACAACTGTAGTACATTTTGGACTCCATTTTTTCACCAATCTGGAGACGCTTCCCTTTCCATCTGATCCTGTTCACCCCAAGACACGTTACTGTATGAAAGAGGATCCTAAATCATACTATCTCCCTTCCACTAATATTGTGATGGAACAGAGCGACACGATTATTAAGAAAAGTGAAATTATGTGGTTGAAATTAATTGATAAAGTAAGAATAATATAAATAATTTAGAGCCACACAAATTTTATCAAATTTGGTATGAGACAATTTTTATGGAATTTCTCGAAAACGTAAAATGAGATGATGTTAGCGGGATGGAGTTGGCAAATGGGAGTTCTTGTAACCATGGTTTAATTTTTCGTATGATTGATTTATAGGGACAAGTCGTATCGCTTTTAGTCTCAATCCTAATGTGTTTAATTTTTCACATTTAGGGATCCCAAGTTATTAAGAATACTTTTAACTGCTATGGTATGTACTCACACACATGGTATGTACCTATGTTGTAAAAACCGGACCGGAGAGTGACCCAGCCACATGATTGGGTCACGGGTCCACCCGGACCCGGTGGGTCAACCCGGTCAACGCCGGATAACCGGTCAATGATTATACGTCTATATAATAATAGTAAACATATAATTATATATAAAATTATAATAAAAATTAGTTATTATTCATAATAATCATCTTACAATACTACTTATTAAGCACTTAATACACTCTTATAATATTTCAATGTATATTTTGATCTTATAAAAATATATAATGATATTTTTATTTTTATTGTACATCTATATTATAATTTGGCATGATGTTCATTCTTAAATAAATATATAAATATATTACATAGCTTTTCTTTTTAAGGTATTGAAATTGCAATTTTATTGGTATAAAAAATGCATTAAAAATAAAAAAAGAAATTACTTTTTTTTTGGTAAAAACACCCAAAAACTGGGTTTTACCGGGTTTTTCGGGTTTCTTGGGTCCGGGTCTTGACCGGGTTTTCCCGGGTCAGCCGAGTTTTTCCGATTTTTGACCATTTCCGGGTTTTGAAAAAATCGAACCGGATTTTTGTCCGGGTCACCGGGTTCCGGGTCAACCTGGCCGGGTCGGGTCGGTTTTTTAAACATAGGTATGTACCATTTTAGAATACTTTTTTCACTAAACGTGGGTTCTGCTCCAATTTCGATTTTTTAAGTGCTTCATTAAGGACCCCAAGTTAGAAGAACCACACGGCAACTTGATAAACTTGTTCAAGTTTTTTGTCTCATTCACCCGAGTATTTTTGGTTCATTTTGGCCCAGTGGCCTATGGGTAGATCTACACATTAAAAGTCAAAGACATCAGGATAGATAGAGACTAGAATAGTTCTTTCCTATATTTCACACTTTCACAAGAATAGTGCACTCAATCCTACATCTATTTCTAGTTCTAATTTGAAATGCATGTTCGATTTAATTTTGGATGGAAAAATAGAGAATCCAATTTGGAAACGACACACGTGCCCACCCTATTTCATATTAGAAAGTTTGTCCTGTATTACTTTTGTCAAATTTTCTCTACTATGAATGTTAGTTAGTTGGATTTTATCCGCTTTGAGTTTGTTTTTAGTCGATTGGGTTTTGAGACTAATTAAAACCAGAATCAATGGAGAGCTGTTTTGTTGTATTCCCTTTCCTATCGATCAGCTCATGATCCTGTTAAAGATGGGAGTGTTATGTTTCCCCAATAATTTTGTGCATAGTCATCCAAGAGGGTGATCCATGATTGTTCACTCCTCACTTAAATTGTTACTTCCTATATTTTTTAAATGAAGTTTTCTGAGGTTGCACAATTTTGCAAGCCCTTAGATCAAAATTGCACGGTCAAAATTGAGCACATTTATTGGGAGGGCAATTGGGCTGCACACTTTCTAGTTGGCCTAAGCCATATTGGTGTTCATTCTACTTCTAACGTAATAATATTGATCCTAGATTATTGTTACACATTCTGTATGATTTACTTAAGGTTTTCTAGTCTCGCTTGATCATTAATGAAAAGTATGAGGTATTGCTCCTGTGATTTTACAAAAAAAAAAATAATTTTTTGCAATATTTACATATGTATTAATGGTACCATCATAAGAGTGATTTCATCTAAATTTTTTTTATAAAACTTTAATCATAAATGAAAAAATTATAACAATTTTAAAAACAAAGGATTTGCATGCCATGTGATAGGGGTCTTGGCCTCTTGGGAGAGCGTGAAGAAAACAGCTTCCGAATCAATGAGTCACTTAAGTCGTTTTAGCCATTATTATCACTTTGATTATTTTTCCATCAGCTTCGTCAAAGCTTGTCAATTTTGGTTGGTCATGTCTTTTTTATGTATATACCTCACGCCATCGCTGTGTCGCCATATTATTATGATCACAAAATGGGTACGAAGTACTTCTTTGCATTGGCATCGTTTCTTGTTTTATTTAGTTGATATTTATGACAATAATTTCCGGTCATTCTATAATAATAATAATCTCAGTTAAGATTGTTAATAAAAATAGTTCGAACTAAATATAATGTTCATGGGAATCAACTGTATTGAATTTGAACTAATACTCACTTATTACTTTCACCAATAGTCCCATTTTTGTTTCTTCATTGGTCTTCTCGGGTAGTTCAAGCTTATGCACGGTTATGAAGTGTTATCTGAGATGAAAAGTGGTGAAGGAAAAAGTGAGAATGGAGGTTGAATAAAGGAAGGAAATTTATTCCGATTTTTTTTATGAACATCATTGTTAGTTTGAATTATTTTTATGTAAACACTCAATAAGATATTACTACCTATTATTGTAGAATCCCTTAAAGTAGGGATTATTCTTATGAATTTCGCCTTTATAATATATATATATATATATATATATATTTAATACAGTGTATAAATTTTTATCAATTTTCTTTATCAATAGTCCATTAGTGTTTCATGTTTACATCTTATCAGTCTTACAAATTACGTAACGTTTGATTTCACGCGTTAAATGATACGTAGTATAATAATCAAAATAAGTATAATCGAAGTTGTTTTTTTAGATTGAATTGACTAAATTTATTATAGAAGCATTTTTGCTATTTTTCTATGATCTTTTGTAGAAAAAATATATTTTAAATATAGTTTTTTCATCATTATTAAGCATATTCAATCAATTTAGACGTTTTAGCCAGACAGGTGCGGAGCCAAGACACTAGGCCGGTACAAAGAATATTTTTGGGAAAAAACTTACACGGAATTTTTTACCCTAAAAATTTAGACATTTTTAAAATTTGGGCTGGGCCATGGCCAGGGATGGCTACCCCCCCTATCTACGCCCCTGTAGCTAGAACTCCGTCAATTTCAATCAATTTAAGTGCTACCAAACATGTTCTTAGTTATCTTAGAAATTTTGTCATTTTCATTTAAAATAAGAAATACTCCGTATATGGTTAAAATTAGATTTCTTTCCTCTACACAAATAGTAACTATGCCTTTTTACTTATTTCACACCCTAAGTCAAATTTGGTCAAATTTGTAGGAACCATGAAAGTACTAGTTGTGTTCCTAATAATTAGTTTGAGCCTCTCCGTAAGCATGTTTACTTTGAGTAAAGGTAGATTCTACGGTACCCATAAGGTACCGTACCTTTGTCCACATGGACCAATCAGAATCATGCAGTTGAATTATTTAAATCTAAATTAAAAGGGATTTAATGATTTGGACCAATCAAATACATAGTAGGTACGGTACCCCATTTTTTAAATGGGTACCGGAGTTGTCACATTGAGTAAATATTATTATACTGTTTTACAGGCTATAATTACAACTACATATTTAGTAGACATCATATCACATTAAAATTGAACCCTGTCCTGATTATTAATAAAACAATTTAATGAGAGAAGTAATCTAGCTAGAATATTAAGAGTATGTGATTATGTCCTTACTTAGTACTTCCTCTACCCCACAAAACTGGGCCAAAATTGACTTGCATGTAGATTAATTAATAAAGTAAAAATTATGTGATTAAAATCCCACAAAGTTTTTGGGACAATCAAAAAGAAAATTTGGTCAAGTTTTATGGGACGGGAGGAATAGTTTACATTTTCACCATCGTGAGATAAAACTTCAACAAGAATTCATAAATTAAAGAGAAAATTCCTAAATTGTACTCAAATATAGAACTATTGTTGGGTTTTTATAAATATGAGTGCTTGTTGTTCTAGTGAAGTTAATATTAGTGATTTTTTCTAGTGAGCTTAGTATTAGTGAATTTTCTACAAAACTAAATTTTAATATCAGAATCATTTCTTTTAAATATGAAATATCAAAAGGAATTAGTTTAGGATGCTATTGTATTAAAGGGAGAATTGCAATTTTAGTTAACTTTCAATTGTGATCTTTACTAGTCCTGTAATTTCATATTTTTAATAATTTGGCGCCAGATACATCTTTTCCGGCGAATTAACGGCTGGAAAATGTAATTTCCGATGTAAAAGTCCTTAATGTACAAATGTTTATTAATTATAGTACCTAATTTACAACCGAGTGAAATTACAAAACTAATAATGCGTGTAGCCGAAAGTTATACTCCGTAAGAATTATATTTCAATTTTCCCTTGTACGATAGTATTAATTTAGCTTGATCATTATATGACGTAGGATTTTTATTTTCGAATAGATATGACGTAGGAATTATGAACAGAGTATTTTAAAAAGTGACGACACAAAATAACATTTGCAATTGCTCCTCCTTAAAGTGCTTTTGAAAAAATGATAATTGATAATATCAGATAGAAAAATATTTTTTGTTCGATAAAAAAATGAAAAGTAATTCAAACCATCCCCACATTAATAGAGCCATTTCAATTTTTTTTTTTAATGCTAAAAGCTAATATCACTTTTTTGTCTTATAGAAACACTCTAAGATGGGTATGGCTAAACGTAGTAGGTCTTACTTACCAGGAGACGAGTAGATGTGGTACGGGAAACTTTCAACAGGCTGTTGCTTCTTCTCCCTACACGCGCCACCTTCTTCGAGCCACCGTCAAAACCGCCGTCTCTCACTGAAAACGAGAACGAAAAGTCCAAATTGCCCTTGCCGGTAATCCTGCTCGTTCCCCGATCTCCTCCAGCCGGCATTAATGGCGGCGAGAACGAAAACGATCCCACCTCCTTGCTCTCTCTCTTCATAATCCTAACAATGAGTCCTTCATCGAGGCTCCGGAACGACGAGAACGAAGACAGAGTAGACCGGCTAATTTCATCCGACAAGTCAAAACCGGCGTTCGCCGTCGCCGAGTGTAACCTCGGAGGCAAGTCGAGGCTCCTGCAGACTGAATTTGGCTTCCCCGGAGGCAGCGGTGAATTTTCGGCGGCGGCGGAGGTTATCGGCTTTCCCGGCGCTTCCTCCCACTGAAACGGTATAGATACCGGCGCGTGAAGCGGCGGCGTTAGGGATGTTAGTGGTAATCTGTGTTTGGTGGGGAGTTTGGTTAGCGATAGCTTTGGAGTAGACACGTGGTCGGAGTTCTCGCCGGGAAATTCCATTCCCGGCCGACGATCAGGGGAAGGTAAATGAAATATTGGATTGGTTGTGTCAATTAAAATGTAAAACGCTCCAGCAATCGGGCGGCCCGGCACTTATCACAACAAGCGTCAATAACGGTACTAACGGATAGACCCGTGGAATGACTGAACTACCCTTGCATTATTGGTGGGCCCATTTCAACCGCTAAAATCACCCAAGTTCAACGCTGAGATTTTTCACACCACAAAAATATCGCGCTCGCCTTGCGAGTTGCAACTTGCGACTGACCCAAATTCTTCCTTCCTAACTACCAAAGGATTGCATTTTAATGTTTAAGTAGATTTTGTTGATTTTCAAAAAAAAAAAAAAACTTCCCCCCTAACTAAAAAATCTTCTCATTTCAAAAGTAGGTAGATTAAGAATAGTGAAAGAGGATATGAATTATTGAGGGTATGATGAGAAGATAATGGGTAATGTGATGGAATGTAGGATAAATCCAAAAAAGTAGTTGTAATAGTGTATTATTTTTAGAATTATTGAGAATATGATGAGAAAATTTGAAAATGAAAAGATTTTTTTGTTATGGACGAAAAAGGAAAGTGATAAGATTTTTTTGTTATGGAGGGAGTAGTAGATTTTGTTGGGTGATTATGTTTTTCTAATGATGAGCATTGTAAATTACTTTTTTTTTATCAAACTAGACTTTTGATTTTGAGTGGTAAATTATATAATAAGTAAATTAAAATAAATAATGTTGAAATTATTATTTTTCTAGTTGAATTGGCTGAAGTTAGTATAAAAAATCATTTAAACTATTTTTCAAATAAATTTTTCTTTATTTTATTTGTAATTTTTTCTCATAAGTAATAGAATCAGTCAATCCAACAACTTCAGTCGAAACTTCACGAATTTCAACAAAACCATCCGATTCAATCAATTTCAGTGTTATCAAACTTGCTTGCATTTAACCCAATTTCATTTGTAGTCTCTATCCATCAAAATTTGTTACACTACATTTCAATATTTCGTTTTCACAACTAGAAATGTTAGTGAAGTATTTAAATACGGAGTAGTTTTACAGACTTAATAATTAATATCATAATAACAAATTTAAACATAATTAAGTACTAATTTGAATATAATAACATAGGATGAATTGGGCAGTGTTTAGTGTTGGATAAGCACGAAGAGTCGAAGAGTCATTTAACTTAACGAAAGAGCGCAGCATAAAACTCTAACATTGAGGCTACTAAACATATTTATGTGTCCTTCCATATCATTCATTTTTGATCGATTATATTTGCACCGCTTCTGGGAAAATCCATTTATGGGTCTTTGGGGTTAATATTTACCCTCCAATTCCATATAATTCATGCATACGAAAAGCACGAAGTCAGCGCATTGAATCTTTGGGGTTAATATTTAACCCCTAATCGCTCAATTTCTAACAAAATCTTTTGTATCGGTTCAATCCAGTTTTGGTGCACGCCTACACCACTGATTAGTGGTCACAATATGCTTCTTTAATTCAGTTTTTTTATTGTTTAGTAATATTGAGTAGTAATGTCGGCGTGAAGAGTGATAATGGCTAGCGACAAAGAGAAATAACGTGAACGAGAAGAGAAATGATTCCAATGAAAAGTGCAGCAGCGCAGGCACAAAATGCAATGTCACCAGCTTTAAGTGCAGTGGTATACTACTTATTAAATTGGACAAAATCAAGGTAAAATGCACATTTTATTTATAAGGTTATTTTTTCCCTTCAATACTCTTAAACGTGAATAGGTTTTTCATTTTTTATTTTCAGCAATACGAATGACTAAAAACATATATAGTCATATTTAAGGAACTTGAATTGGCTGTTTAAATCATACTACGTATTTCAAGAATTTTCCGATGATCTCATATATATAAATGTAGATTTGAATTTGCAATAGAAAAATCAAATAAATTATACGGATTACGGAGTATACGTATATGTCAATTTGTACCAATTTTTTTACGCTAAGCAAACGTGTGTTTGTCTCTATGAATTGAAGCAAAAAATAAAAATATGTAACCTTAACTTCTATAATCTCATACCCAGTCTATCTTCCTTTTTTTGGTCAAAAAATAAAAATATGTAACCTTAACTTCCATAATCTCATACTCAGTCCATCTTCCTTTTTTGGGTTATCTTATAATCCAAGATAAACGGGGATATGTATTTGGACCAAAAGCTAGAAATTAAACACAAAACACATTATTTGTATTAATCTCTAAAATAGAACATGATTGAAAGTGACATGTAAATTGTAAATGGATTTCGTGAGATTTGTTATGTAAGTTTGAGTTTTATACGTAATCAGGTAATCTTTCCGTTTGCAAAATATGGAACGGAAAAGATATTCTGTGGATTGTTTTTTCTTTTTCTTTTTTAATTTTCCAAAGTATTAATATATATTTTTGACAAAAAAAAACTTAATTCATATTAAAAAACAAGAATGAGATACATGATCCTCTTATCAAAGGCTATACGTACTAGGATGAGACTTAGAGTTGTAGTCACGCATAAGAGCGGTCCAACTCGCTAATCCCGTAATATGGTAGACTTCACTAACAGCAATGCTGCACTTGCTACTAGAATGAAGATTAAAATAAAAGCAACAACATAATTCAAGCATCTCGATATCAATAGGCACCAGGAAGGGAAAAGAGTCGAGATTTGTCGATCAATCTCCAAAGGAAGCATTCCAATTTTACCAGCTGTCGGAAAGGGGGGAGAGGTTTGATCAGCCACCTCCGAAGAAATCATCTCGTGCACAGGACATGTCACTATTCTAGGCGATGTTGTTCCAGGTGCTCTGCCGCCTTGCCGTTTTTTATTTCCTCGCCATCAGCCTCCTCGAATGACCTCCTTTCATAAGTCTTATGTAATCTCTTCAATTCATTAATGGCCAACGAAATGATTGCCGGATTCGAGACATAAAAAAGATGCAGCTTAGGCTCATGATCAAAAGCCCAAACACGTTCACAATTGGAACAGACTAAATAATACTGTTACTGTATATTTTATTGTGTACATTTATTTTTTTGTCACAATTTATTCCTAGTACGTACATACTTGATAAGTATGAAGTAGGAGTTGGTGTTGTACTAGGTTGCTTTGCGTGTTACTGTAGCCATGTATTTCGTAGCCTTCGTTAGCTAGTAGTAGAGAACAATTCGATGCACCAAGTGTAATTCTTTTCCAGTAAAAGATTTCGGCATTATGAAATATTTTCTAGGCATAGAAGTGGCACGCAATTCTACAGGAATTTTCTTGTGCCAACGCAAATATGTGCTGGATATTTTGGCTGAAACAGGTTTAGTCGGGGCTCGGCCGGTCTCCTTTCCTATGGTACAAAACCATAAATTACAATCGGAAAATGGGCCTAATTTTTCTGATCCAGAACGCTATCGGCGGTTAGTCGGAAAATTAATTTATCGCACCCTGATCAGGCCAGGTATTAGCTATTCCATTCATATTCTCTCCCAGTTTATGCAATGCCCTAAGGTCACGCATTGGGATGTTGTTTTACGTGTGTTACGCTATCTCAAGGGACATCCTGGCCAAGGGATTTTATTACAGTCTGATTCTAAGCTTACTTTGACGGGATATTGTGATGCTGACTGGGCAAGTTGCTCGATTACTCGACGATATGTGATCGGTTATTTTGTTTCTCTTGGCCATTCTCCTATTTCCTGGCGGACCAAGAAACATGCAACAGTATGTCGTTCTTCAGCAGAGGCAGAATACCGCTCCATGACCACACTCACTTGTGAACTTATCTAGCTGCGCAACCTGCTTCAATGCTTGGGGGTCACACACTCTTCCCCCGTGACACTTTATTGTGACAATCAGTCCGCTCTTCATATTGCCTCTAATCTTGTATATCATGAGCGGACCAAGCACATAGAGCTTGATTGTCATTTTATTCGGGATCTTATCCAGGCTGGCACTATCTCATCATCTTATACATCCACTACTAAGCAGCCTGCAGATTTGTTAACCAAAGCACTCGGAGCATCTCAATTCTCTTATTTGCTTGCCAAGATGGGCATTTGTGATCTCCATCCTCCATCTTGAGGGGGGTGTTACTGTATATTTTATTGTGTACATTTATTTTTTGTCACAATTTATTCCTAGTACGTACATACTTGATAAGTACGAAGTAGGAGTTGGTGTTGTACTAGGTTGCTTTGCATGTTACTGTAGGCATGTATTTCATAGCCTTCGTTAGCTAGCAGTAGAAAACAATTTGTTGCACCAAGTGTATATAGACCTGCTCTCTCTATAGAGATTGACACGATGTAATAAAATATTGGGAAAACAGTCAATTAAGTCCACCTACTATGGGCGGAAAGTCAATTGAGTCCATGTACAATTTTTTCGGTCAATTGGGTTCACATATTTCAAAATAACGGTCAAATACGTTATTTAGGCAGTCGCCAGCCGGTTAGCCAGTTACCGGGTGACATGGCTTCTAACGTGGCATACTTAACCGGGAAAAATCAATTTTAAAAAAAAAAAATTTTAAACCTCTGTCCTCGTCATCAGCCATAACCTAACATACGTTTTAACAGATAATGAAAACCAGTCTTCATTATCTTTTCTTCTTTTTTGCAAACGGGGAAGTAGCGCCGCGAGGTGTTCTTGAATCGCAAGTGTAACCCAGAGGTCTTCGTGTTTCTTGAATTCGAACGCGAAATCAGGTTAGTTGCTAGGGTTGTAGTTTACGAGGAGATTACTTCGATTGTATGCTATTATGGCCACAAGTTTTTCCCTATGTGTCAAGCTTCCTCCTTTTTTTATTTGTTGATTTATGACACTGGTTTTGAGTAGTATAATGGTTGTTATGAATGATTGTGTACATGTATATGTTTAGTAATGACCGAAATGGTGCCTTATTTTGCTTTTTGATTTGCATTGTGTTGTAATATTTACAGAATGTTTGACAAAGTGGACCTAATTATTCACCATGGCGGCAACTTCGTTAGTTTGCCTGAAACTATGTACGTAGGGGGAGAAGTGGACTGTATCCCAATTGATCCGGACCTGATTTGTTATCCTCATTTAATGA